GGTCTCATTCTCCTAAAGAGCCTTGAATATAATCTCAGGGCTAGATGAAGGAGACGTTACTGGGGCCTGCTCGAGGCAATCGACGAATAACAGGATGATTTGTGATTTGTGAATTAAGATACCTCTAACATCTGGGGCTGGAGCAATAGCACAGCGGGTAGGGCGTTTGCCTTGCACGCGGCCAACCCGGGTTCAATTCCCAGTATCCCATACGGTCCCCCGAGCACTGCCAGGAGTGACTCCTGAGTGCAAAGCCAAGAGCAGCCCCTGAACATTGCCAGGTGTGACCCCCCCAAAAAAAGATACCTCTAACATCAATATCATGGAGACTTCTAATATTTTCCTCAAATCATTTTATGGATTCAGTCTTAATAGCAAGATCTTTAATCCAGAGTGATAGTTCAACATGTGTAGGGCATTTGCTTTGCATGCAGCCAATCCAGGTTCAATCCCTGGCTTCCCATATGATCTTCTGAGTACCACCACGAGTAATTCCTGAGTGCAGAGCCAGGAGTAGTAACCCCTGAATATCTCCAGGTGTGACCCAAAAAGAAAAAAGAAAACTTAATCCAATTTTTCATGAACTTTCCTACATAGTGTGAGAGAGAAATCCAATTTGGGTTTTTTTTTCGTTTGTTTCTTTTGGTTTTTGGTTTTGTTTGTTTGTTTTTAATATGACTAACCAGTTGCCTAGCACCATTTACTAAGATACTTTTTAACAATTTTTGTTAAGGCACCATGATTTACAAAGTTATTCACAGTTAAGTTTCAAACAATGTTCCAACACCAATCCCATCATCACTGTTAACTTCCCATGTCCTCAGGTTCCCTCCCACTCGCCCCCCCCCCCCCCACACACACACACACACATCCTTCTCCTTGACAGGCACTTTTTTTCTTTTTTTTTCTTTTTTTTTTTTTTTTTTTTTTTTTTTTTTTGCTTTTCGGGTCACATCCAGCGATGCACTGGGGTTACTCCTGGCTCTGCACTCAGGAATTACCCCTGGCAGTGCTCAGGGGACCATATGGGATGCTGGGAATCAAACCCGGGTCAGCTGTGTGCAAGGCAAACGCCTTACCTGCTGTACTATCACTCCAGCCCCGACAGGCACTTATTAAAGTTTGGCTATTGTAGTCTGGATCTCATGCTTTCAGTATTGCTGGTCCTGTGGTCTAGCTATCTAGATATGTCATGTGTCTTCACCCCAGAGCGTCTGTCTCCTCCTCCTCCTATTAACTTCCCATCTGCTCCTTCTCACTTCCCCTCTTGGTTGCTTTCTACAATCAAAGGACCAGGGTAATCTCGATATCCCCACTTCGGTACCTTGCAGTCCCCTATCCTGTCATTCTATGTTATTCTAGAATTCTATTATTCTAGATAGTTGAATCAGTGAGATCGTCCTGAATTTGTCTTTCTTCTTCTGACTTCACTTAATATGATATCTTCAAGTTCCATCCAACTTGCAGGGAATTGCATGATTTCATCTTTCCTTGCAGCTGCGTAAGTATTCCGTTGTGTATATATATCACATCGTTATAATCCATGAATCAGTAAGACACCCCATTGATTCGGTAGCTTAGCTATTACACCAAGTGCTGCCGTGAATAATGGTGTGTCTATTTCCTCATGGGCTGGAGCGACAGCACAGCGGGTAGGGTGTTAGCCTTGCACGCAGCGAACATGGCCGACCCGAGTTCGATTCCTCCGCCCCTCTCGGAGAGCCTGGCAAGCTACTGAGAGTGTCTCGTTCCCCATGACGTATTCGATATGCCAAACACAGTAACAAGTCTCACAATGTTACTGGGCCCGTTCGAGCAAATCGATGAACAACGGGGTGACCGTGACTGTGATTTCCTCGTGAAGGAATGTTTTCGTGTCCTGGGGGTAAATACCAAGAAGTGACAAGGCTGGGTCATCTGACAACCCTATACTTTTCTAACTCAATTTACACTTTTCTGAGAAATCTCCATCTACCTCGCACCCTGCTCAGGACACCCCATGCTTTTCTCCCTGTGACATTTCCCACCTGGCCTGTCGCCCCTGGGTGACACAGGAACGGCCCATCTGCCTGGCAGCCCCAAGTAGTGGGAAATGGGGCGGCAGAGGCCACTAGCCCTGTGCTAGGGGTTCTCTGGCCCACACAAAGCAGTATCAAGGGCCATAAAACTTAGCGGTGGGGCTACTGGAAGGAAGGAGAGCACAGAGACAGGAGCACCTCTCCATCCTGAGACTTCCATCATACCGGGTGCCCCTGGGGGGCACAGGAAGAAATTGGGGTGGGGTGGGGAGTATTCATGCAGGTGTTCCTCTGCATGACCATCACTGGACGGCTTAGTCCTGCCTGAAAGGTCCAGAGCCAGGAGGATGGATAGGTCGAAATTTGGAGAAGGAAGAGGTGGGGGCACACAGACCCCCACCGCTCACCGCAGGTGGCTTGATACATCCAGCCAGGTTGCATCTGGGGCTCCAGAGTGCATGGAGAAGCTCTAACCTACCGACCCCACCTCAGATGGAGGGGAAAGATCGGCGCGGACACACGGGGGAAGCATTTTTTCTCTTTGCATTCTATGGTGCTCAGCCACCTTTTTTCTCACATTTCTCAGCCCTGGAGAAGGGAGGCTATAGAGGCTGCGCTGGGGTGTCAGGTCACTCCATCATGTTTCATGTCAATGGCAGGCCCCATGGAGCACGGTCTTGTGACAAGCGGGCAATAAGACATACCTCCTAGGCTTGTGTCATTATACTTCCTGGTGCTTCCACAATGAGAAAACTGCTCAACACACCTTTCTCAAGGGGCCGGAGAGACAGCACAGGAGATAAGACACTTGCCTCGCATGCCGTTGCCAGGGCTGTGACCCTGGTTCAAATCCCCGGCACCATATATAAAAGCAGCAATGCCCAGGGTCCAGCCTGAGGACAGAGCCCAGAACTGCCCCCTGAGCAGCATGGATGGGGCCCGCCCTCTCCTCTCAAACACCTCCTACAGTCCCCTCCTTCAACAAACCACGACTCTACTTCCTTCCTCCTCCTCAGCCCAACATTAGCCTCACACCCCAGGGGTGGAAGTGAGAAATTGCTGCAAGGGAACAAGTGTGAAAACAATGGTGTCACATGACCCCGGGCAGCTCAAGGTCTGCACAACAATAAGAGCAACCACACAACGGAGTGATCTGGCTGAAGTCAGACACTCCAATACTGGGGTGCTACGAAGCCATCAGAAAGAATGAAGTCATACTTTGTGGTGAAGCCATCGTTTATGGTGGGGGGAGCACATGAAGGAAGGAAGGAAGGAAGGAAGGGAGGGAGGGAGGGAGGGAGGGAGGGAGGGAGGGAGGAAGAATAGAAGGAAGAATAGAAGGAAGGAAGGTAAGATAGAAAGAGAGAGAAGGCAGACAGGCAGGCAAAGAAATAGAGGGAGGAAGACAGAAGGAAGGAAGGAAGGAAGGAAGGAAGGAAGGAAGGAAGGAAGGAAGGAAGGAAGGAGGGAGGGAGGGAGGGAGGGAGGGAGGGAGGGAGGGAAGGAAGGAAGGAAGGAAGGAAGGAAGGAAGGAAGGAAGGAAGGAAGGAAGATGAATGGAAGGAAGATGGATGGAAGGAAGATGGATGGAAGGAAGACAGAAGGAAGGAAGGAAGGAAGGAAGGAAGGAAGGAAGGAAGGAAGGATATAGAAGGAAGAAAGATGGAAGGAAGGAAGGAAGGAAGGAAGGAAGGAAGGAAGGAAGGAGGAAGGAAGGAAGAAGGAAGGAAGAAAGGAAGAAAGATGGAAGGAAGGAAGAAAGATGGAAGGAAGGAAGGAAGGAAGGAAGGAAGGAAGGAAGGAAGGAAGGAGGAAGAAAGAAAGAAAGATGGAAGGAAGGAAGAAGGAAGGAAGAAAGGAAGAAAGATGGAAGGAAGGAAGGAAGGAAGGAAGGAAGGAAGGAAGGAAGGAAGGAAGGAAGATGGAGGAAGGAAGGAAGGACGGAAGGAAGGAAGGAAGGTAAGAAGGAAGGAAGGAAAGAAGGAAGGAAGGAAGGAAGGAAGGAAGGAAGGAAGGAAGGAAGATGGAGGAAGGAAGATGGAAGGAAGGAAGGAAGGAAGGAAGGAAGGAAGGAAGATGGAGGAAGGAAGGAAGGAAGGAAGGAAGGAAGGAAGGAAGGAAATGGAGGAAGGAAGATAGAAGGAAGGAAGGAAGGAAGGAAGGAAGGAAGAAGGAAGAAAGAAAGATGGAAGGAAGGAAGAAAGGAAGAAAGATGGAAGGAAGGAAGGAAGGAAGGAAGGAAGATGGAGGAAGGAAGGAAGGAAGGAAGGAAATGGAGGAAGGAAGATAGAAGGGAGGAAGGAAGGAAGGAAGGAAGGGAGGGAGGGAGGGAGGGAGGGAAGGAAGGAAGATGGGAGGAAGGAAGGAAGGAAGGAAGGAAGGAAGGAAGGAAGGGAGGGAGGGAGGGAGGGAGGGAAGGAGGGAAGGAGAAAAGGAAGGACAGGTAGAGGGGAAAGAGAAGGAACGGGAACTTCTAGCCCTAAAAGAATCACAAGCGTCCAGAGCACCCATCGCATCCAGAAAGGAGCTGGGTGGCCATGGGTGGAAGGAGGGCGTCGGGGGTGAAAGGCTGCTTCTCTTGCACATCTCGTTGCATTTCACTGGCTGGAGCATGATCCACCTGACTAGCTTATTTATAGCCAGTAAAAAGCTGACTGAAAAGATGAACAAACGGTGCTCACTGGTGCTGTTCCCTCTGTCCTGGTCAGGAAACTGAGCGTCTTCAAGGACTCTACAGGTGGAACTTCCGGCAGATGTCCCAGGCAGCACGCACTGCTGCTCCTAGTGGTGACCCAGGTGCCGTCACCCATCACCCAAGTGCCCAGGCGTGAGCCCTGGTGAGTGTGTTCTCCCCGAGGCGACACCCCCAGGTGGCATCCTCCCCCCCAACTCAATCCAGAGCCAGGGGTGCAGGGGGCGAGTGAGAAGGTCAGAGGCCACAGCCCCCAGTGCTGGAAGTGGTCACTTTATTGGACGGAAAGAAGTTGTGCCAGAGGGGGTGGGGAGGCCAGGGAGAGGGAGGCCACTGGGTTGGCGCCCCATGGGGCCAGGCAGGCCCGCCCGTCCCCCATTCCTCGGATGGTGGTGGCTGGAGCTGGAGAAAGAAAACCAGGACCATGCCATCAGCAGCGATGCCCGTTCCCCCGTCCCCCCAGTCAGGAGTCCCCACCGTTGACATTCTCACCAAGCACCTCTGAGACAGATGTCCCAGGCAGATACGCGGGCACATATGTGGCCAGGCCTGGCCTTCTGGGACGTTCTCCCCGCCCCCTCCCCATCCATACTTCTCTGCAAGTCCCAGACTCCCCTCTTCCACTTGAGAGCACCTTAAGACACCTCTGGGTCCACCATGGTCCCAGCTGGCCACTGTGACCTCCCTGGAAGTGGGGTCAAGGTCCCCCATCCCTAAGGACCCCCCTCCCCCTAGGAAGTCCCCCTCCTCCTGCTTAGGTGAGGGGGCACTGCTTCTTCTTCCTACCCTCTATAAGCCAAGTCCAGGCACCACAGGGCGCTGAGGCAACTGTGAGTGCCCAAGCTGGGCCATGATGCGGGGTCCCCCTCCTGGGGTCCCTCTTCTCTCTAAGACCTCAGCCTTCTTCTCTGGGCAACCCCAGGTGGCACCTGGCAGAGTTTGTCCCCGGCAGCAGAGACGCACCAGGAGGCTCAATCCAAGGATTCCTGGGTGCCCTCTGGCCCGCAAAGTCTCCTGTCTCACCACCCTGGTGCCCGTGGCAGCATCCCCTCTCCTGGACACTTTCCCCCAGCCAGACCACGGAGCCCGACCCCTCCCACCGGTGACAGGATACTTTCAAGTCGATGGCCCGGGCCTGACTTTCCGTACACGGCATCTTCCAGGCCAGATGCTCACAGTGACCTGGCCTCTCTCCCAGTCCTGGCTTGGGCCCACCTTCTGGTGCTTCCTAAGATGCCCTGAGGAGGGGCCCCTTCACGCCCGCCCCCATCTGTCATCCTCACACAGGACACCCAGCTGCAACCTTTGCCCAGGTCTCAGTGGGGCTCTCACGGGCTGTGCAGGGTGAGGACAGCCCCACGCAGCCCCCCACTCCCTCCGCATCTCCCAGATCCTCCTCCATGCGATGCAGAGACACCAGACCCCAGGACAGAGCCCCGCCACCGAGAGGACTGTCCTCTCCCTGCCGTGAGCCCCCCGTGCACTGAGCCCTCCACCAACCCGACCTACCTCAGACAGGAGTGACGCAGGACACGTTCCCACAACCGTTGCGACAGCACTTCATGGTCCCAGTACACTGGCTGTCCATCCGGCACTGGTCCACGCAGATCCCGAGTTGAGGGATGCCACTGTCCACTTGCGGGCAGGAGCCTGGCTTTTCTGGGCACGGAAAGGAGGGCATAGGTGGCAGGCGGGAGGTGAACACTCCCGGGTGGTGTCCCCTCCCCAGAGCAGGCGCCAGAGCAGGACAGAGTGTGGGTGGTCTCGAGCCTGGGGGGAAGGCCACACAGCCCATCCTCTTCTTCCTCTGCCTGCGCTTTGGGGATCATAGGAACCTCTTGGAGTCCCCCGCTCTGCCTTTTCTGAGCTGTGGCCTAGGACCCCAATTTCCCAGAGCCCCCCTGAGACACTGAATGGGTGCTGCATCCTCACAGGGTTCATGCAGAAGCCTGGCGGTTACATCTCTGAGCGCCCCCTCGTGGCTCTGTGACGTACTACACAGGGTCGAGAGTCCCGATGTGGCTCCCCCTAGGCCAGCATCATTCGAGGCCAGGCCCGTGGTGTGTTTGAACTCAGCTAGTCCTCGGGCAAAGAGGGGACAGGTGTGATCATCTGGGTCGGAGGAAGGAACATGTCCCACTGCTGCAGATGAAGAAGCCCAAAAGGCCAATGAAGGAGTGGCCCAACCTCTCCCAGGACAGGATCGGACACTCTCAGCCCTCCCTGAGCCCATGCAGCTGGGGAGGCTGCACACCCACAGGCCCCGCACGAGTGTCTCACACACGCACCCACGTGCAAACACACATAAACATACACATAAACACACACAAACATACAGGCTTGTGCACACACAAATAAACACACATGCACACACATTCACACATTCATATACACACACACATACGCATACATACACACACACCTACATAAACACACACACATAAACACAAACTAGAGGCTTGTGTACATACAAATAAACACACATGCACACACATACATATACACACATATAGACGTACACATAAACACACATACACACATACAAACACACATATACACACATACGCATACCTACATACATACACATACCTACATAAACACATACAAACATACAGGTTTGTGCACATACAAATAAACACACACATGCACACACATATACACAACACACATAAACACACATATACACACATGTCCGTATACACACATGCACATAAACACACAAACACATATACATATACATACATAAATACATACATAAACACATATACATACATAAACACACATGCTTGTGCACAAACACACAGACACACACATACACATAAACACACACATACTTGTACGCACACACATAAACACTCTAAACACACCCACATAAACACATGCACACACTGACACTGCAGAGCGGTGCCTCTAACAATGGGCCTTGATCAAATCCTCACCCCGCAGTGCTCCACTGTGCGGATCTTTCTAAATCACTCCTACCACACATGAGGAAAAGGACCACAGAGAGGTGTAGGGCCTCAACCAACAATTGCTGCAGGCCAGAAGCAAACCTGAGTGCAGACTTCTTCAGGTGCAGGCACATACATTTGTACACACTCGCATACACAGGTGCATGTACACACACATCCAAGTCCTGGGTAAAGGAGGAAGAAGTCAGATTCCTGGCCCAGAAGCCCAGGGACACTCCTGTCCAGTGCACACCAGGGGCAGGAGGGAGGCAGAGCAGGGAGCACAGAGGGGCTGTCCGCCGATCTGTCGGTGCAGGAAACGCGTCCCACGGAAGCGGCAGGAGCCCTCCACCTGGACTGCTCTGTGCGCTGGGCGCAGCTCCCGACAACCGAGCCACATGCCCTGCTCTCTCTGGAGCGATTCCACATGCCTTATCTCATTTAGCCCTCCTTCAGTCATGCCAAGCTTGGGGCTCTCACTCCTATGATGAGTTTGATGAGGAAGCAGAGACTCAAAGAGATGCAGTGGTGATTCAGGATCCCACAAAGGAAGGCAGTGTCCTGGGGATTCTCTCAGGTCCCTCTCCCTGTCTGTCTGCCCATCTGAGACACGGGAACAGCAAGACCTTCACCAAGCAGCACTGATGCCCTTGACCCCTTGCCCTCTCTCCTGCCTGATGCTTGGACCTTATCCCCGCCCCCCTGCCCACCCCTCCTGCCAGTCCTCCCCTCTAGGCCAAAGAATCAAGGTCCTCAAATCCAGAAGTTGCCCCTGATGGTCAATGCTCCCTGCGTCTCCCACCTCTCTGTGTCTGGTCTCTAACTGCAACGCCTCAGAACCCTGCTGGCATCTCAGGAGAAAGAAAGACAGAAGGGCTGGAGTGACAGTACAAGGGGGGAGGGGAGAAGGGGCATTTGCCTTGCATGCTGCTGACCCAGGTTCCATCCAGGCACCCCTGAGCCGGCTAGCAGTGATCCCTAAGCACAGAGCCAGGAGTAAGCCCTGAGCACCACCAAGTGTGATCCTCCAAAAAAGTGAAGGAGGAGAGCAGGGGGAAGGCAGCTTCTGGGTGGTGACTCGGAACCACCCCAACCCTGCCTCTGGGCCTCACTTTTGCTCCTGAGAAAGGAGAAGCTTGGGTACGGCCATCTGCAGACCCCTGCCTGCATTCCGGACTCCCGGACTCCCGGGGCCCAGAGGCAAGGCCAGTGGAGGGGAGGGAGGCAAGGCAGGGCGCACGAAAGGAACTCCCTCTTTCTTGTAGCCACCCAGGCCCTTGCTCCCGCCACGGAGGTGGGGGTGGTCCTTGGGCAAGACGCGAGCGCGAGAGGCAGGAGTAGCTGCTGCGCGTCTTGGAGGGGCAGAGGTGTGTTGAGGGATGCTGGGGGCTTCGGGGTACTGTGAAAGGGATGCGCGCCCCAGCCCTTGGGGCCCTGGCCACTCTCCAGCTCCTGCCCGCGGGGAGGAAACGGCTCCCGGAACCACATCCAGGCAGCGTTTGCCCGGAAGCCCGTCATGCCCCAGAGACTCGAATCCAGTGGGGTGGGGTGCGGGGGAGGGCGCAGGGGAGCTCGGGTCCCCGCACCTCCACCTCCGAGCGTCAGAGGAGTCTTTGTTTCCCCGAGTCCCAGATCTCCCCCACCCGCCTCCACCTGGCCAAGCGTCCCCCAGACGCGCCCCAAGCGCCCCTCTAGGCGGATTCCGGGCGCTCCCGCCTGCCCCCACCTGCAGCCAGCTCCCGCCGCCGCGCCCCGCCCCTAAGCGGGCGGCCCTGGGGTTACCATTGGGCAGGTGGCACACGTTGGCACAGCCAGCCGGGCAGCACTTGAGGTTGTCTGCGCATTCTCCATCCGAGCGGCACTCTTTCTTGCAATGAGAGCTCGCCTCCAGCAGGGGGCACACACCTGTTTTCTCGACTTCTGCGGCTGAGTGGGGGTGGGGGGAGGGGAGAGGTTGGACCCCCCCCCCCCCACACACACACACACACACACACTACCACCCCACCCCGACCCCCTCCCCAGTCCCACCCAATGCAAACTGGAAGGAGTTCACCTCTTGTGCATGTCAGGACCCCCAACCCTGTAGCCTTCGAAAGGCCCCACGTCCAGGACAGAGGTCCCCACCCCCTGGGGACGGGGGGCATCCTACCCCCTGGCCTCAGCCATCAGGGGCACCCTCATCTGCGCTTCTGGGCGGGGCTGACGTCCAGGCAGAGGTCTCCGCGCTGGCCACGGGCTCTCCTCCACCTGAGGCACTGCACCTCTCCCCCAGACCCACCCACCCACCCGGGTTCCTAACTCTCCGAGGGTCTCCCCAGCTCTTGCACCTCGACGCCAAGGGCTTCCCCGTGTTTCTCCTGGACGCTCCCCAGTTCCTCTCCGTGGGGGTGCTCCCCGGGGGCAGCCTGCTGCCGGCGGTGCCCGCGGCCCCGGCTGCGCACTCACCCGCGGTGGAGGCGGTGGAGGCGGTGGAGGCGGTGGAGGCGGTGGAGGCGGAGGAGGCGGTGGAGGCGGAGGCGAGCAGCAGCAGCAGGCCCAGGAGCAGGCCCCGGAGCGGGCCCCCGAGCCAGCTGCGGGCGGGCATGGTGCGGCGGTGCAGGGGTGCGGTGCAGGTGTGCTCGGCGCCCGCAGGGATGGGGGGATTTAACGCGCGCGCACGCTTGGGGGTGGGGGGGGGGCGGGCGGGGGGCCGGCGGCGGGGGCGGGGCCCGTTCTGCGCCGAGAGGGTTCTGCGGGCACCTCCGGCAGGCTGCCACCTCATGCCATTTCACAATCCGCCGGGATCAGGTGTCACTCTTGACCCGGGTGGGAACCAGGAACAGAAGCAGCTTCCAGGCCGGGCGCAGCTCGACCAGCTGCAGCCAGACCCTTGTGCACCTTCCCCTTCTCCCACTTAACCCCCCCCCCCCCCGCCCCACAGACACACACACACTCACCACCTCCACCCCCGCCGCCCGCCCCAACCTCCCGGGAGGCACCAGAGAACTCGGTTCCGTATTCCTGGGATCACTTTCCAAGACTGTGAGGTCTCTTGGTCATGCCCAGGGCTGGGGGAAGGAGAGGGAATGGGCAGAACTTAGTGGGGGTTAAGGGGCTGCTTTTGCGGGGATCCGCGCGCTCCAAGTGCAGGTCCCAGGTCTGGAGGAGGATCCGTCCAGGAGTGATGCGAAACAGCAGGACAGGATGCGGGGCGAAAACCTGTAGCTCTAACAACAGGACGCAGGAAAGTAAAAGGCCGACTAATAGTCTGGGGCTGGGGAGTGCAGGGTCCCCTCTGCCACACCACCATGCTCCCAGGACTTTGCTTAGGGTCCTGTCTGGTCCCCTGGAGTCTCCTGATCTTCCCAGCCAACAGAGAGCTCAGATTCCCTTCCTCTGTGTGAGGGCCAGAGCTTGAAACCCATGTCATCCCAAGCCCCCAATGCAAAGCTGTCCCGACAATGTTTTGTGACCTAAGTCTTCCCTCTAAACCCCGGTTTTTTTCTGCTTCATCATCAATATTCACTAGGTACCAAAGGTGAGATGGGGTGCGCGTGCGCGCGCGCGCACACACACACACACACATACACAGACACACAGACACACACACACACACACCATTTAGACCAGTTCCTCCAAAACAGGCCATTTCTTGTGCTCAGGGAAATTATTCCTGACAGTCTGATGGAGCCCTGCAGCTCACAGGAAACATTCTTCCTTCCCTTAACATTCCTTTCTATCTCTTAGAAGGATGAAAATTGGGGATCTCACAGAGAATTTGACTTACTACCAGAAAAAGAAGAAAGAAATCAGAGTCACCCGTCCAAACGACAGGCTATGGCGATCTCATCACAGAGCTCTGGGTGAGTCCCTCTCCTCTCCGAGAGCCTCAATTGGCACCTTAGGCTTTGGGATTTCCATGTCTGTATAGATTCCTTGTACCAACGTACTTTTTTTTGGTTTTCTTCCTACTTGGTGTTAATTTGATTATTTAGTATTAATCCACCCGGTGTTAAATTGATCATTTGACCTAAACCCAGAGTTGCGGGGGGGGGGGGGGGGGCGGGGGGGCAGCAATTTACCCCTCTTTCCCGAAGCTTGGCAACCTCCATAGGACTTTACTGGCTGGACATATTCAGGAACAGTGAATACAAAGAGAAATTCAGGGATCTCTGCCAATAGCCAATGAATAGGGATTCTGACTGTCCCCACCTTCCAGACAAGCACGCACAGTGCCCAAGGGAAGCGAGAGCAAGGAGAAGTCTTTTAGTCCCCTAAAAGTGAGATTAATTGCACAGTGGAATACTATGCAGCTGTTAGGAAGGATTAAGTCATGAAATTTGCTTATAAGTGGATGGCCATGGAGAGTATCATGGTAAGTGAAATGAGTCAGAAAGAGAGGGACAGACATAGAATGACTGCACTCATTTGTGGAATATAAAATAACATAATCTGAGACTAGCACCCAAGGACAGTAGACACAAGGACCAGGAACATTGCTCCATGGTCGGAAGCCTGCCTCATGAGCTGGGGGAGAAGGTGGCTGGAATAGAGAAGGGATCACTAAGTCAATGATGGTTGGAGGGATCGTTCGGGATGGGAGATGTGTGCCAAAAGTAGATAAAGGACCAAACATGATTGCCTCTCGGTATCTGTGTTGCAAACCATAACTCCCAAAAGTAGAGAGAGAGAGTATGGGCGAAATTGTCTGCCATAGAGGCAGGGGGAGGGTTAAGATGGGGCCGGGGGGAGGGGGGATACCGGGGACAATGGTGGGGGAAAATGTGCACTGGTGGAGGGATGGGTGTTCGATCACTGTATGACTGAAACTCAAACATGAAAGCTTTGTAACTGTATCTCATGGTGATTCAATAAAAAAAAAACTTTAGGGAGCCTTTGAAATATATATAATTTCTGTAGTACTATCAATAAACAACACAAGTACGTTCCAAAAATAAAAAGTAAGATTAACTGAAGAAAATAGATGTGAAACTAGTTCTTTGATTCCCTGGCCATTGACTATTGATTGTTCTCCTGCCAGAGCTTCCTTTGCTGTCCTTGCCTCTGTCTTTCATATTGTTTGTCTCGGGGGAGCTAAAATACCTATTCTATTTGAAAGGACGAAGAACATGCTTAACATGTGTTTGGGGACAGCTTTAGGGACAGGTCAAACTCTGGGAGTGGATCTCCTGGATCTGGTGAGGGCTGCATCCTTTCCCTTTTCTTTTCTTTTCTTTTTTTTTTTTTTTTTTTTGCTTTCTTTTGGGGGGGTCACACCTGGCAATGCACAGGGATTACTCCTGGCTCTGCACTCAGGAATTAGTCCTGGCGGTGCTCGCAGGACCATATGGGATGCTGGGAATCAAACCCAGGTTGACCACGTCCAAGGCAAACGCCCTACCCACTGTGCTATCATTTCAGCTCCATCCTTTCCCTTTTCTTGCAGATCTACCTACAGCCATAAAGAAGTCTTCTTGGATTGGGTTTGCTAGTAGAATAAGCACACGGAAGGGAGATGCATTGTCAGTGGCCAGGAACAGGGATCTTGAACTGGAAAGACTTCTATATTTAAAAAGGGTTTTGTTTACCAGGGGTCACCCTGATGATGTGGTGCTTGGGGACCACCAGGGCCCACGTGTGTCAGGGATGAAACTCAGGGCCTCTGCCAATGTAGCTGTGTTGCCTCTGTCCTGTCCCCCACCCACACAACCCCCCACGCCCCATTCTAAAGCTTTTAAGAGCCCTTTCATCATAGCCAGCTGTCATGGGTGCCTGTAGGGAGATCAAATTGAAAACTGAACACAAAGAAGTGTCTCGCACCCTCTGGGGGCCTCTTAGGAAGATGAAAGAATAGAAGTCAGAACTTGAAACAAAAATTAGAAACCACATCTAACATAGCATAAATCACCCTTCTGAAAAGTCTTCCCAGCTAATGGGCTTAGAAAACCCCTCATGCAGTGCATTAAAACCCTACCCGAGTGAATTTTATAGTAAACTGCCTTCAGCTATTCCCTTAAATAACCAAGGAGAAATTCAAATTTTAAATGGATGAAACCCCACTTACAGGCAATCTCTGCAATGAGCTATTTATTTCTAGTTTGGGGGCCATACCCAGAAGTGCTCAGAGGTTATCCCTGGCTCTGTGCTCACAAAGTGACCCCGATGGTGCTCATGGGACCATCCTTGGAGCTAGGGACTTAACCAGGGTCTCTGAACCACATGCAAGGTAAGTGCCTCACCGCCTCTACTCTCCCTCCAGGCCTCAATGGGCTGTTTCCTTTTATTCTTTGCTACCCAAATACATGCCCACATAGGGTTGTTCTTTCTTATTCTACATGCTGAAAAGTTGGTCTGCCTCTCTGCTTGCCAGGGGGTTGCAGACTGTTGGCATAGGCAGAGATTTTGTCCATCAGGTTGAGAACCCAAAGCCTGGCCAGACAAATATGAGTTATTCCCAATTTGCTGCTAGAGTCTACCGCCAGCCCTCAGAGGGATTGTCTCAGCCTTTCTTTTTTTTCCCCCTTTTTAGGTCACACCCGGTGATGCTCAGGAGTTACTCCTGGCTCTGCACTCAGGAATCACTCCTGGCAGTGCTCGGGGGACTATATGGGATGCTGGGAATCGAACCCAGGTCGGCCGCGTGCAAGGCAAAATGCCCTGCTCGCTGTGCTATCACTCCAGTCCCCATCTCAGCCTTTCTTAAGACTCTCCTTGAGAGCGTCTCTATCTGGATCTTGGGGAAATCATTCTTTGCAACCTCATCAGTGATTTCTCTTGGGTTCATAGGACTGCTTATTACCGCCAGAATTATTTTCTGCTTGCCCCAGCTGGAACCTCACATGATTTTTTTGTGTGTGTGGTAAGGAAACAGGTGGGTTTAGACCATGCCAGGCAGTACCTGGGATCTATTCCAGCTCTGCTCAGGGGTCACTCCTGGTAATGTTGGGGGGGGGGGGGCATGCAGTGTAGGGTGGGCCATTCAGTATTGGGGATCAACCCAGTTATCCACATACAAAGTAAGAGTCTTAATTCCTATACTACTTCCTCAGTCACATGAGTTGTGTGTGTGTGTGTGTGTGTGAGTGTGTGTGTGTGTGTATGTTTTAAATACAATAGCTCTAGCTTTAAATGTGGTCAAATTGGAATTGAATACTCCAAGCATGGTAGAATCTCTTCCGGTTTTCTCCCCTAAGCTTAATGTACCCAGAGGTTAAAAAAAGGACCTATTTCTATTTGCATAACTGGCAATATAATCCTCGAGGCTGTCCATCTGTCTTGACCATCTGCAGAACCTTGCTGATTCATCTCAAAATGTCTTCAGGTATTACAAAATTCTGGGCTTGGTAAACACCTCATAGCCTTTCTTAAAGACTTTGGATTCTTTCCTCGTTTCATTTTAGTTGGTTGTGCTGGTGTGGGGGTGGAAGGAGACAGCCTGAGCTTGACACATGGGGCCCTGTACAAACACACAAGCAAGGCACGTGGGCTCTTCATTTGAGCCACATCCCAAGCCCTCCAAGAACTCCTGATCCCCGTCATCCCCCTGAAATAGAAACTTCAGGGAGATAAGAAACGGAAAAAGGAGGAAAGGAAACTCTTTTAAATATGAGTGGCCAAAGAAAAGCTCTCTCACCCCAAAACTAACCCACAGGCATTTCTCTGCCTGATTGGTGAAAAAAATTCTTTTTTTTTTTAGTAAACTTTCATTTTATTAAAAAAAAAAAACTTAAAAGCTTTATTTGGAAAAACATGAGAAGTTATTTCCCAATTAAGTATTCTACT